ACATTTCACCTAATTGTCACTTCATGCCATGGGTTAACAGTGAGCTCCCTCTTTTATAATATGTCTGAATATGTCTATTTATCCATACTAAGTGAGGTAGATTTTCAGTGCCTTTAGACCTAATCAGACTTGAGAACTAATTTTTTAAAATCCTCTTTAAGGTGTTGCTTCGCTAGAACCACTTCTGGTATCAAATCAATTTGAATGGCTTCTCCAGAGAAGAAAAATCTGTACTGCATGTATATGTAGATGGATAGAAGGAGATTTATTATCAATAAATGGATCACACAGTTGTAGAAGCAGGGAAGTCAGGTCTGGTTCAAGTCTGTGGGTCATATGGTAACCTGCAGGATTCTCCTGAATCATGTATTTGCAGAGTTGACAGACCAGGAAACAGAAAATGAAGGTGGAAGACCACAGGCTGGTGGCCAAGGAGTTGAAGAAATCCAAGTTCAGCAGGGAAGTTCACAAAACAGATCCAGATCCACCCATAGTGCTTAAAAAATGAGCAGACCATAACCTTGATGATCCTTTTTCCCAATGTCATCAAGGCTGTGATCCAATCAAGGGAACAACCCTCTACTACAACTGCTGGCTGCTCACAAAGTTGACTACATTATGTAGACCAGGATTACTGTCACATTACTGAAAATCCAGGCCCAGCCAGGTTGACACAAAATCTAACTATCAAAATGACCAAGCATGAGTTCCTTCTCCAGGGACATATAGGAATAAGAAAATCCTTTATAAACTTGAATGGTGTGCATTCAGCCACGATTAACAATGTGAGCTAGAATAGGCACGGCAACCACATCCTTACTATTTCCAAAGATAAGAAATTGAGAGAAACTGATTCTAGGGAATAAGACATTGTTGCTGAGAAGGAGAGAGTGTCAGAAAGAGTTTGGCTAATAATAACTTTGTGTGTCTTAATGTGTATATGTGTGTGTATGTATAGATGGAAATGTGGTTATTATTAATTTCAGTCCAATGAGCAAGTGGAGGCTTTAGATTTTAACATTCAAATCTTATGCAGGGACAATTTGTGCTTTCTGAAATGTACACATAAGCTGGGTTGCTCTTTTCTGGTTCTGTTGGAATCTGGAACCCATTGAGGTATAGTCAATTCTGACCTCTAATGACCCTTCAGAACAGGGTAAACTTGACCTCTAATGACCCTTCAGAACAGGGTAAACTTGCTCCATAGAATTTCCAGGCCATAATCTTCACAGAAACACACTGCCATGTCTTTTCCCCTCAGAAATCTTAGCAGTTGAGTGTTTAACCATTTTGTCACCAGGGATCCTCATTTCTTACACAAATATTACTTATGTATATGAAGAGTGTGATGCTAGTAGCAGCTATTTTGAGAGTGCCTGCATTGGATTTATAACCATAAGAATAGCAACAATAGTAACAATAGCAAAGACCCTCAGATATTTGTAGAATCTCTAAAATAGGGCACAGTGTTAACAAATGGGAGACAGCCAAATTCTTCAAAATCAATAAAATCTAGATGTAAATTCTTGTGATTACTCTCAGAAGTCTACTCTTTTTCAAGAAGTCCTTTATTCATATGCTATGGGGCCAGAACAAGTCCCGAATCTAAATAACCATCAAAGAGTCAAGATAAAGGCCATTCTCAGGATAAGTAACCACTTTATTATCCCTTTCATAATAATTTTAAAAGTGTTCAATGCTACAATTTCCCACGTGATTCTCATGGCAAAAGGATAAAACATTGTACTTTTCTCCAAAGGAGGAAACTGAGGCCTGAAAAGATGAGGCGATTTCCTAGATGTCACATACCCGGTGATTGAGCAGATGCTGTCATGGTTTTCTCAGATTTTGGCCTATTCAGATGAAAAACGGAAATAATCCCTGACCTTCCTGCCAAACCAGAAAAGCCCTTCCAGGCGCTAGGGTTTGGTCTCACCTGAGGCTGGACCAGGTGATTGTGACTTACCTTTTGGCTAACATGCTCTTAATTGCTGTCCCTCTACTTACATGGCCCAACGGTGTGGGGAGAGGGACATCCAGCCTTCTTCATGGTGCATGGTCACCTGAAAGCTTTTCCAGCTTTCAATGTCTGAAAGAGAGCTGGAACTGGTGTTTCTGGATCACAGCTATACCAAGCAGGAGAGTTCCCACCCAGATGCCAATAATGCCCGCCCCACCTGCATGCTCTTTGTTACCCCCCTGAAGACAGCACAAAAGTCCCATAAAATAAGAGTGAAGAAAACAGAAGACGTATGGGAACAATTAGTCCAGAGGATGAATGGACCACAGAAAACCTCAGCTTCCACGACCATGATAACAGAAGAACTAGATAGTGCCCAGCAACCACTGCTAATTACTCTGAAAGAGATCACAAAAGAGGGTCCTGAGTACAGTGGGAGAACAAATTGGAACAAAACCCCAAATCATAGGGGCCTGATGGAGACTTGGAATCCCAAGATTATGACCCGAGAAACTCTTCACTCCTGGAACTGTACTCTCCTCTGACTCAAATTTTAGCACCGCCCCCCCCAAATATACAGGCTTGAAGGGGAATGAGAGGGTATACACTCCTTAGAGCCATCAACCATACAAAATCAAAAGGGCAGAATTTGCTAATGGATAAAAACTCTTGAAAGCAAGAAAGGGCATTAAAGAAGGATGACTAATAATGGAAGCGTGCTGGTACATCTTGGGGACTGCAATCAATGTATGAATTGTTGAATGGAAAACCAATTCACTCTGTAAAATTTTAAATCATAATGAAAAGCTTTTAAAAAAAGAAAGAAAAGCCCTTCCAAAAGGGCATTTGAAATTTTATACATATATACTAGGAAGTAAATTGAAGGGAATATAGATATGTAACAGATATCCCATGAATGTTCATGAATTTGGATTGATTTTGGTTGTGATTTTTGGCCAGAATGTCAGACTCTCCAATTCTGAATGCTGCCTGAGTTGGTCGGGTGACAACCTCCATTGGGAGACATATTGTTCTGTGAAGAAACGGTCTTTTCAGTGGAGAAGTGGGGGAGGGAGACGTCGGATGATGTAAGATATAATAAAATAATAATAATTTATAAATTATCAAGGGGACAGGGGAAGGGGGGAGCAGGGAGGGAGGGGGAAAAATGAGGAGCTGACACCAAGGGCTCAAGTAGGAAGCAGGTGTTGTGAGAATGATGAAGTCAACATAAGTACTAATGTGCTGGACACAAATGATGTATGTATGGATTGTGAAGAGTTATATGAGCCGCTGATAAAAAGATTATAAAAAAAAGAAACGGTCTTTTGTTGTAGGGTCAACTGTACGTTTCAATTGTCCTTTTTGCCCAAGTTCTTTGGACCAGATTTGGTTATAAGCAATCCTTGTTTGTTGTGGTCGGATACTTCCCTTGGATAAAAGAGCTTAAAGAAACAGGTCACCAGGAGGGAAAGAGCCGGGGAACAGGGTAAATATAGATTATAGATGAAGTATACGTTTCCAAATCCAGAGGCAATCTCTCTTTTATTCTTCGGGTTGGTTCATTGGGCAGGCTGCAGAATTTACAGTGTTGCATAGGGCTAAGCAAGTTGAGGAGTAGTCTCCAGATGCTAAGAAAACTCAAACATTCTCTTTCATAAAGGTTTGGCCTTGTATAAGGCACAAGCTCCCCACTGTTCTTCTCTATCCACTTTCCCATAGGTGGCCTATCCAAGAAAATGAAGGCGGTCTTAACAAAGTTCCCATAGTCAAGACACAGGACAGCCTTCAGAATTATGGAAGCCTCAGTGGGAAATTTTTCAAGCTGGAATTTCTTGGATGGAGTTATGGTGACTCTTAACTTATAAGTTTCTTTTGTAAAAAGATAAGTAGATGGAGGAGTCTTTAATACTGCCTTTTTTTGCCTTAAGTGTTATTAACTTGATACCACAGACCCTCTGCTGTCTTTCTGGGCATGACTATTTATATATACTATTTAACCTGCCAACCCAGCACCACCCTCCACCGCTTGGCTATCCAGTGTTGAAGTTCTCTAACAGTCTCTCAACTAACGGAGAGGACTTTATTGTGAGGAAGTGACTTGATTACACGTGACTGTTTCAATAATAATTTATAAGCCTTCCCCTTTGATTATTGCTTTTTCTACTAGTTTTGAGTTACCATCTGGGTAAATTTTGTATCCTCTACCCCACTAGCACTTCTTTAAACACATAGGTACGGGTATTATCCGCAGCCCCCCTCTGATGGCCTCACAGCTGAAGAAAAATAGCCTTAGGCAAAACCAATTCTGTTTCCCTGATCTGGGAGAATGCCAAGGTCTGCATTATTTCAGGGATTCAAGATGAACTTTTGCAGTCCTTAAGTTTCATCATAGCATGTCTGTAATACTTGGAGATGTGAGGGAAGATTTTCCTTTCTTTAAGCAGTGCCATGAATGTTAGATGTAGAAATGTACATAATAAAACGAATACGGAAAGAGAATCGTTAAGAGAATGAACCACATAAATACAAAAGGACTTTAAAGATGTTTTGAACCGTTTAAAACGGCTATAAGCGATCAGAACACGTAGAACTGTGATTTCATGGCTTGCTTGAGTGAGGACGTGGAGAAGCTTGGATTGGTGCCAAGTTCTAGCTCCTGGGCCTGTGAGGCCAGGCAGGCAGGCGGGGGAGGGAGAGCAAGGGACTGGACGGGATGTGGCAAGCACACGTTATGGAAAGAATTTTCGGGGTGTCCAAGGACTATTGTGGCCTGGACAAAAGCAGAAAGACAACTCAGCGTTCCTACCTTGCTCTTATATAAGGGGACAGGGTGAGAAGTAGAACTCCCCCCCCCCCACCCCGGGGTGCAGGTGAGGTATGCAGAAACTGAGCTGACTGAACAAGGCTCCACCTCCGCTGTTCTTCCTCCAATATCAGCCCCCTTCCCCCAGCACTTGGGCCCCCTCCTGCTCCTCCCTAGATCCCTCCCTAGGCCCGCCCCCGATCTCCCACCCAATTTGGGATTGCTTCATAAGTATTCCCAGCCCAGGGTTTGCAGCAGCATAAGGCAGACAGCAGGGGAAAGTCGGTGTTGCCAGAGCAAGCACAACCTCTTCCTCTTCCAACTTGCAGATTCAGACGCTGATTCCAGGGGCGCCGTGCAGCGCAGCCTGAAGGTTCACCATGGTGAAACTCGCCTTCAACACCCCCACCGCCTTGCAGAAGGAGGAGGCGCGACCAGATGTGGAAGCCCTTGTGAGCCGCACAGTCAGAACTCAGATGCTGACCAGCAAGGTAGAGGTCTCAAGTCCGCCCCTGGTTGTCTGCCAGGGTGGGGGTGGGCTAGACAGGTGGCCAAAACCCAAAATGGAGGGTTTGGGCAGTACCTTGGTCCCTCGGCGGGCTGCCATGCACTTTTGCTTTGCTGAGCTTTTCCAGCAGCCCCTGCTCTGTCTGTCTGGCCCTGCTACCTTTGCGCTCCCTTCCCCAAGCCCCTCTGCATTCCTCTCGTCCTGCTGGGCTTTGTGCATTCTCACCCTCGCTGCCCGTTCAGGGGGAGTCTGAGGAGAGCCCGTGGACCTTGATGTCATCTTCTCTTGTGGGGTGAGTTGGGGACTGGGCCAGGTGGTCCTGTTCCCAGTTCCAGTGGCGTGCAGAGCCTGCACGGGGGCTGCACGGACTGGAGGTGTGAGTAAAAAAGCTAGTTACTGAATCATTCTTTCTTTCCTTTCTTTGTGGATGAAACTGGATGACTTTATCTTTTTAGTGTCTGAAAGTGTTTGGCTGGAGCTTGGGTTGGGGGGTGGTGGCACAAAGGTCATCTTTGACTAGAAGCAAGATGGGTTGGCGGATTTGTGTGTGTGTGTGTGTGTGTGTGTGTGTGCACGCGCGCGCATGTTAATTTCTCCCTGGTCAAAGGTTGCATTTAACATTCCATAAAAGAGCTGTCAACCATGAGGAGACTTGTTCTAATTGAGTTTGGGGTGTTAACTCTGCCCTCTTAATATAGGAGCCTTATACGTGCTCAGAGTGGCATTTCCTAAAGTAAATACTCTACTTCTATAAAAAACATTCTTAGTGATTCTTTGTCCTTGCTCCTTTTAAATATTGCTTCTGTTTAAGCGATACTATCCATATACCCCATAGAAAGATGTGAAATAGACCTGAAATTGTAGTTGAAAATGGCAACTCTTCCAGAAACTAGAGAAGTGCTTCCTCCCTCCAAACAGTTAGCCATTATTTATTTAGTGCGCTCTGCATTTCCTTTAAACATCTACCATGTATTTAGTATTTGCAAACGACTTCATATTTTCTTCAACAAGATCTCAAAATTAAAAGGTAAATGTTCTCCAAAATGTGTAAACTGCTGGAACTTGCAAATCTGCCCTAACTTGCTTTGTTCTTTATAAAGTTTTAACTTTTGTGTTCAGGAGTAGGGATTTGGAAAGTACTTTGAGTGAAATGAGAATCATATAGTAAAATTGATTGTTCACAGAACTTGATATACTAACATGCGTATGTAGAAATTTTAACTTGGAATTGCAATTACACTAGTTCTTTTACATCACACATTTCAGAACGAAAATCTAACACCCTCTGAGTCTAGTATGACAGGTCAAATGTGCAATTTTGCTCACCCTTACTTTGTAAGTGAAATATGGCCAAATTTCGGGGGATGGATAATTAGATGCCAATAGTTAAATCTAACCACAAACCAATCTTCCTCTTTTTTTTCTCTTACCACCAAGAACTTCATGACTTGTATTTGTTTCAAGTTAAATGCAAGTAATATTTCTGCTAGTGATGAGAAACAAACAAAAATAGCATTTGCACTTTATATTCCTTTATTAGATGCTGGAGAAGTCCCCAAGAGATCTTGAAGTGAACACTTATTAAATAAAACATGATTGATATATCATGATGTACTGATTTGTTTATCAGAGATATAGTACAATAGGTTAAAAATCAGAGGAGCTGTACATTGACTTTAAGACACATCTCAGAGAGAAATTAGCTATTAATGGCACCCGGCCATGCTGAATCTAGCAAATTTCAATGCAAATAAAAATTCCTATTCTTGGTAGCTAGATATGTCTTATGAAGCTCAAATGCTAATACTTAGACCTTGCAAAAAACTCCCTAGATCGCTGGAAGAATAGATGAAATTTCAGTGCAAATTGTTCTTCTCATTTGTCTCAATGACAAAAAAAAATTAGACATCGATTTCTCTAAAAATATCAAATAAAGTCATTCTTTCTGAGTGTCAGTTAAATATTCTAAAATATTTAGATCTCTTAGTCTACAGCTTTAGTGCAGTGATTCCCAAACATAATTTATAGTTCTGTTTCATAGTGTTTGTCTTACATAATATTTAACATTTAATTAAAGTAATGAACATTTTTTGAAAATCATTGGGGTAAAGAAAAGCTTCAGAGTTTATAAGTATTTAGTAGAGTATTTGAGCTTAAATAATTTTTAGCTATGCGAATTTCAAATTTTAACTTTAATGAAAAAAAATTGAAAAACCATACTCATATATCTGAGACACAGGCAATGGATAATACAGCTCTTTCCTGTACCTTTCAAGACAACTGGCAAGGTTACTTTGCTTGGCCAAGTTTTTCACGGACTCTTTTGGAAGTGATTATTACATTATTCTCAAAAAGACAAGTGTGGACCTTCCTCTTCTGAATTCCCTCATTTTACCCGTTGCTCCAAATTCGTTGATTTGTCTCAATATGGAAGTGGAGTGAGACTTTAATTAATAGAGAGTAACAGAGTCGTGAAGGGGAAGGACTCTCCACAATGCTAAAAGTCTAATAATCATTTGGCAATGTTACTTTTCTAGTGGAAGGCCAAGGCCTTAGTGCTGTACTGGTGCGACACTGTGGCCAGGATCTCAAAGAATATCAGCATGTTCCCTTCCTGCCTGTATGGACCCACACTCAGCTTTGCTGTTGAACACACCCTCCGCTGAATGTTTGGCTCCCTCAGCCACTAGCAATTAAAGCTTGCATTTACTTGAATATCAAATAATTGCCTTTATTCTTCTACATTAACTTCAAATCACTCATTTAATTTCAACAAATTAATATGTTTACATAGGTAGCACAAATTTTATAGTAGTTGTCATGGAAAAGAATTAATGGTCTATTTGCATTCTATTGTGAAAGATTTATCTTATGATTACAAGGGTTCATGTTGGCTGATTTCATATATTCTTTTCTTGACTAATAGTCCCGTACAGAGAATATTGTGACACAAGAATGGGATTGGGTGGGTGTAGAGTTAATCCGTTACTTTCTTGTTCAAATGCCTAAACAAATTATTGATTTAACAGAATTTTATAGTAACTGATATGCAGAGAGATTGTCTACTGATTATATATGGCCAGTCCTATACTTTACAATCTAATGTTTTATCTAGAATTTGAAAAGCATTATTTTATTGGTGAGGCTGTAGAATATTAGGAAGTCTCCAAATCGTTGGGTAGCAATAATGGTTAAGAACTCAATTAGTAGCTAAAAATTTGCCAGTTCAAACCCACCAAAGGTGCCTCACAAGACTACCTTGGTGAACTGCCTCCAAAGAGTCACAGTTTTGAAATTTCTATGGAGAAGTCCTACTGTACATAAATGGAGTCCTTGAATCATAATCAACTCAACAGCAACTAATAATAATAGAGTCTCATTCAAATTCAGAGCATTAGGATGTATATATTTACTCCATATTTTTATTCCTAAAATACCTGCCCAATATAATTAATTTCTTTAAAGCTTAATTTGCAAAAAATAATATATTTTTAAAGTTGTTTAAAAAAGACTAAATTATACTTAAATTTGCAAATTAATTTAAACAAAGGACATAAATTACTAAAGAAACTTAACTGTATTCTAGAAACTTAATGATAGTATCACTTTAAAATTCTGAAAAGTAACTATTTCTGTTTATTTAAACTGTAAATTATTTATATAAATGAATATTTATTTTTATTTGAGTTAAGAAACTTTATCTTGAAAGAATTTCATACACATAGCAGGGTTTGAAAATGCCAGGAGGAAAGCTAATTTAATTAGAGATTTTCACAACTATTAGACATCAGAATCCTGAAGTCATTTAAAGAAAAGATTGACTTATTTTAATATATCTAGGTTTCATTGAAAATACTAGGTACACCAAAGCAACGATGTGTCTAAAAGTGCAATCTGGTTTTGTTTTGTTTTTTAAAATAGGAAGTCCGTGTTGCCACCCAGGAAAAAGAGAGCTCTTCTGGGAGATGCATGCTTACACTCTTAGGCCTTTCATTCATCTTGGCAGGACTTATTGTTGGAGGAGCTTGCATTTACAAGTACTTCATGCCCAAGGTAATAATAATTGCAATTCCGTAATTTATATAACTTATTACTTATGCTTAGTTACAACTAAAAGCAATTTTGTGGTCATCATTAGAAAAAAACGAAGATTTAAGGACAATTCTCAAATTTCCTTAAAATATATAAAAATGTTTTCTCTTACAAAATAGAGGACTGGGACATATTAAAAACAAGATATTTATGCACATCAAAAGACTGAAAATAAGGCCACCGACTTTGGAAAAAAATATTTAGCAATGACGTGATGGGCAATGGACTAATTACTAAAATCTATATAATTCTGCAGTAATTCAATGAGAAGAAAACAAATAGTCCAATTAAAAAGTAGACAGTTCACCAAATATGACATTTAAATGACTAACAAACACATGAAAAATGGTCATGAACACAAGTTATCCAGGAGAGGCAAATCAAAACATTGAAGAGATATCACCTTGTATCCAAAATGAGAGTCCGAATAAAAAAAAATAGAAAATAACAAACGCTGGAGAAAATGTGGTGAGATTAGGCTTCTTATATACTGTTAGTAGGCTTGTAAACATGTATAAACATTGTGAAAAGTGATATGGCGTTACCTTAAATAACAGGAAATCGATCCTATATAGCTCATGAATATCTATGCTGAGTATATACCCTAAAGAATTGGTAGAACATGCACATGTATGCTCTTCCATGTTCATTGAAGCACAGTCCACAGTGGCAAGAAGCTGGAAACAGCCCAAATTCTCATCAATAGAATAATGGCTAAAGAAAATGGTACATACGTAGTATTTGAGTGAAATACTATGTATCCCTAAAAAACATTGACAAAACCACAAAGCACCTCACAATGTGAGTGAACTTGAAAACAATTATGATGAGTGAAGTTAATCAGTCATAAAAGGTGAAATTTTGGATAAGACCACTACTATAAAGATAAACACAAAGACAATGATAAGCTTCTCTTCACAGGTAATGTAATCCTCTAATCAGGTCACCCAAACAATGAGGTGGTGTGCTTGAGTAGTGCTCAGGATCCAAATGTCCTCCCCTTATTTGTATATCTTAAGGATGACTTATTTAATGTAACTGTATGGATCATAATAAACTATGGATAGTGCTGAGAAGAATGAGAATTCCAGAAAACTTCATGGTGATAATGTGGAACTTGTACATAGATCAAGAGGCCGTTGTGTGAACAGAACAAGGGAATACTGCATGGTTTAAAGTCAAGAAAGTTGTACATCAGGGTTGTATTTCCCATCATATTTATTCAATCTGTACACTGAATAATCCGGAAAGCTGGATTCTATGAAGAAGAAGGAGGAAGGCTTATTATTGGAGGAAGGCTTATTAACAACCTGCAAAATGCAGATACCACAATTTTACTAGCTGAAAGTAAGCAGGAGTTTAAGCACTTGCTGATCAAGATGAACAATTACAGTCTTCAGTATGCATTACAACTGAATGTAAATAAAACCACAATACTCTCAACTGGATCAATCATGATAAATGAAGAAAAGACTGAAGATTGAAAAGATTTCATCTAGCTTGGATCCACAATCAATGCTCAGGAAAGCAGCAGTCAAAATCTGCACAAGACCTCTGTAGAGTGTTGAAAAGCAAGGATGTTACTTTGAGGACTAAGGTGCGCCTGACCAAAGTATTATTATTTTCAATGACCTTATATGCATGTGAATGTTGTGCATTGAACAAGGAAGACTGAAAATGAATTGATACATTCGAATTATGCTGATGGTAATTAATATTGAAAGTGCCCCGAAAGCATTTCATCTGGAATGCAAGCAAGGAGGGGGAGACTTCATATCACATGCTGTGGACATGTTATGGGAGAGATCAGTCCCCGGTAAGGAACATTATGTGTGGCAAAGTAGAGGGACCACAAAAAAAGAGGAAGATCATCAACAAGATGGATTGACACAGAGATTGAAATCATGGGCTCAAACACAAGAACAATTTGAGAATGGCACGGGGCCAGGCGATGTTTCATTCGGTTGAACCAACTCTATAGCACCTAAGAACAACAACAACAACACCCAAGTAGACAGACGGGGCCTCACTTCAACTGAAGTCAGTTTCTCATTTTGGGTGGAGAGGAAGAACACTAATCAGTTCCTGCCCTATGCAATTGTCACCCCCAAATCAAGCTACATTCCCACAATGGTGCTCAATGAACCTTAATGGAAATTCAAGTCCATAGCAGGGCTGGGACTCGGGGGTTAGGAGGTGGGAGTTGGTAGGTAAATCTAGCGGGGCAACCTGCCCATGGGAAAAATGCTTCACATTATTTATATAGACTCTCAATGGAAGAATATGCCTGGTATGATGTTGCTAATCAGTCACTTTTGACTGAGATTCTCTCTAGCCTTTGGTGACCAGGCTTTGTGCTATAGTTAACTGGAACTTTAGACTCTGCTCTGTCCTTTCAAGGTGCGCAACATCCTTCATAGGCCACACTAGAAAGATCTGATCTGGAAACCTCACGAAGTTAACCAGGCTCTACTTAAACACACCCGTAGCAAATTAAAGGAAGTGAAATATTCCTTGGACTTAATAAAAAGCCCTGAGTGAGCAGAAGCAGATGACTGCTATTCCAAGGTTATACAATTCAAAGCCATTGGATTTTGATTCAAATATTTTTCTTTGCAGGTGCCTAATAAATGGCAACTCAAGATTGCCATGTTTGCTAGTTTCGTACTCTTTTTGCTTTTAAATGCAATTTCTTAGTCTAGCCGGTGTAGTTCTGCCTTATTGAATGAGCATTACTGAAAATTTTGCCCTATACCCAACCCTCATTGTTTTCACAACTAGTGTTCAATAACTTATGTTTTTAAACTGTACATGTCAACAATCTGTGTATGTTACTCGAAAAAGCTGTCTTATGTAAATTTTCATTTTCTCAAAATTAATTTATATTCTATACCATTGGCTGAATTAATGATACCATCATATGCCCCAAGGGAAGGAATTATAATGTTCCCCAATAAAATATTTGTGATGTCTCTATAGTGGACCAGGGACATATATAAACCACAGATATATGAATGGATCTTCAGCTTGTATTTAATCATAGCCCTCATCTAAGAACATTTAATTCTTAAAACATGTTCCTATTCAATTCTTGCCCTCATGAAGAGATCACTGAAGACATGGGTGCTATAGAAAAGTGTGGTGAAAAAAGCAGATGGTGTCTGGCTATCAGAAAGAATAGTGTATGGGGTCTTAAAAGCTTTTCAATAAATAAGCAGCCATCTAAGTGAGATGTCAGCTAAGTTCACACGGAGGAAGAACACCAGCCAGTATGATCCAAGGATTGTAAAGACCAAAATTCAAGACTAGATGACGGAGTGGTATTAGAGCTTAAATTCTAATTTCAGAATGATAGTGAAAACCCAATTTTTTTTTTTTGGTGGGGAGGGCATCCCATGTGAATTAAGCCTCTGGAGAGTCTTCTCTGACTATTAACCAGGGATTTGAATAACCTTGCTATCAGATAAAGTTTATTGGGAAGTGGATTAATGCAGATATATTTAGGTTAAAATTTAACACCTTGTCATTCTCCCTGTTACCCATTTTAAACTTGGTCTCGTTTTTATTATTTTCTGCTTTTTTATTGAGGTTTTTCTGTGTTTTATTTTGTTAGGGTTAGAGCTGTATTTTTTCCTTTATATGAAATCCAGGATAGGTGAATCTAAAGAGACAGTAATGGATTAATAGTTTCTTAGGGTTGCCGCAGAGGAGGTGGGAGAAAGGGGGAGCTAATAGTAATGTGTACAAGAATGAAGAACATTTTCTAAAATGTATTGTGATGATAATTACACAACTCTTTTTAACATGCTTTAATCCATTGATTTGTATGGTATGTGAATTATATGTCAATAAAATTGTTAAAAAGTTCTTAATTGGATTTGTTTTAATAATTCTTGTAATCAACAAACTAGGGAAAAAGTACAAGTATTGATATGAATGTAAGAAATCATTCAAATTTGAAAATAGCGAAGGTTGGAAGATTTTAATTTTTCACCCATTTTGTCCTTCAGAGTACTATCTATCATGGAGAAATGTGCTTCTTCGATTCTGATGATCCTGTGAATGCTCTTGCTGGAGGAGAGCCCTACTTCCTGCCTGTGACTGAGGACGCAGATATTCGTGAGGATGACAACATTGCAATCATTGAGGTGCCTGCTCCTAGTTTTTCTGATAGTGACCCTGCAGTGATTATTCATGACTTTGAAAAGGTGAGTTTCTTATTCTTGTAAGTGTCCCAAAATATTTTTTCTATTTCATAATTGTATAATTTGCAAAATCGCAGAAGTAAAGACATCATTTAGCTGCAATTATGTACACCTTAGTTGATTGAGAGAGAATGTAACTGTGTTCTTGTTTCAATGCTATTTGGAAAATTTGTAGTGTTCATGCCATCTATAATATATAGAAATATTTTTTCTCTCTTTCTCCAATAGGGAATGACTGCTTATCTGGACTTGTTGCTGGGTAACTGCTTTCTGATGCCTCTCAATACCTCCATTGTTATGCCTCCAAAGAATCTGGTGGAGCTCTTTGGAAAACTGTCAGTATGTACTTCGTAGGTTAAATTTTTCTCTAAGCATTTCCATATGATTTTGTTCCACAATGAAAAAGAATCGTGTTTGGAGAAATGGATCAGTCAGTGGGAGTAATTTTCAATCAATACAAAAGTAAAATATATATCTCTATGGGTCAGGATTAAAACAATATCTTTAAGGAATTTTCATTTGAATCTCTCTTTTTTAATAGATTGGGAAATACTTGCCTCGTACCTATGTGGTTCGTGAAGACCTGGTTGCTGTAGAAGAGATTCGTGATGTTAGTAATCTAGGTATCTTTATTTACCAACTTTGCAACAAGCGTAAAGCCTTTCGCCTTCATCGCAGAGACCTTTTGCTAGGTGGGTAATTCATTTCTTAGTCCACTCTCTGTTACTGGGACAGTGGAAAAGGATGAGGATTGAGTATGGGAGAAAGTAAGGAGCAAATCTAAATGTTTTTCCATTTACAAAAATTCCGAAAGTAACTTTTTGTTGTGCATTTCCTCATAGGTTTCAACAAGCGTGCCATTGATAAGTGCTGGAAGATTAGACACTTCCCCAATGAATTTGTTGTTGAGACCAAGATTTGCCAAGAATAAGAGGTCGCAGATTAAGAATTTTTACAGGATTAAGAAGTCAGCTATTTGAAATGTGACTTCAACATTTAAGTGTATGGGATATTCATGATATTTACTCATGCATTTACTGTAATAGCAAGGGTAAGTAAAAAAAAATACTGCTATTAGGACTCCAGTTCATACATACATGGGTTTTTCAAAACAATGTGCTTAAACGTGTCTCTGTGATCAGTAAGTTTTCTCATTAACACCCTTGTCTTAATTTCATTAGGGTGTCTTTAAAAGGATACATTTTTGTGCCATGGGGAGAAAATAGCCTCGAGGTCATGGGTAATATCAGATTTTTAACATAAGTCAAATGGCCATCTTCCTAAATCATTGGATTTTAGAACACATTTATGGGAATGTTGCCCTGCACAAAACAATCATTTTTAGAAAGTTCAAGTATATTAAAGAAGGTGAGGAAGAGTGATTTGTTGTACATAGGGTTGCTATGAGTCAGAACTGACTTGATAGCACCTAACAACACCAATAAAAGAGAAGACTTCAAAGGGGAATTCAAGAAAGTGAAGTCATGTTGGAAGATTATGATGACTATTTGGGAAAATTCCAAATGACTCATATTTCTAGATTTTCTTGATGGATACAGGATGATCATGAGGACATATTATGAAAAACTTAAGTGAATTGAAAACTACATTGGTGAGAAAAAGGTCAAAAAATTGGGCCAAGGAGGTTTTTGTTTTGTCCCCCCCACCCCAATTATAACAATGCGGCAACTTTTTCTTTGAAAGTATCAAGGCTGTACTCTGACAATTTCATTGAGAAACCTTACTCTATCCACCTTATAGTCTTCATCTTTCCCCTTAGTATTTCATTTTGCTCCCCCAAACTCAAAGAACATTAAAAAATAATAATATTTGAGTCCCTCAAAGGTGCCCAAACTGCCATTTTGATGTTGTCTGCATCAATGATCACAGATTTCTTTTGAGAAATGTTAGGATACGGAAGGACTGCCATTCAGAAGTCAATAGACCTAACTAAGGGATGTGATGAAAAGTAATAGCTTGACATTTTGATTGTTTTGTTTAATAAAAGTTTCTATGACTTTATGCCAATGCTTTTTGGCTCTTCACACACACACATACTAACAATTCTTGTGAATTCTTACTTTAATTGGCACTGCGTATTGTTTAAATGGACTGATTCTTATTGTTCATCTTCTAAATTTATCGGGTTTCGATTTTTGACATCAACACGAATAAAGCAGATAACATCCTGAAAAGTAAATCACATCATTTTTCTCTTAAGTATTATAGAGTAGACTGTTTTTTCCATTGAAAACAGATAACCTTTTTTTCTTCTACTTTGAGTGCAGTATGTAAAATGTCAACATTGTTGTGAGTTTTGTTTTTTATTTTGTTCTACTTTTCTGGATTTAGAAGTTATGTCTTTACATTTTTGTTAGGTACTCTGTACTTACATGTGAACTTATACATCTGACTTATATGTGAACAGTTCTCATGAGGGAGACATTTTCACTAATGCAGTGATGCTTTCTCACTGATATCTGTATTGTGAAACCCATAAAACTATGCAAGTACTGAATATTATAAGGAACTTAGGTTGTATGAACTCTCCAGCCCTATAATAAATTTTGTCATATTCAACCACTGTTTCTCTTATTTAATCACTTGAGGCAGAGTGTAAAAATTACTTATTTATTCATTCATTCATTCATCATTCATTTACTTTAAGTCAGATTTGGTGTACTTGAAATAGATCTAAAATTAAGTGTGCCACTACCTGACCTATATCTTTACATACATTATTTTTGTAATTCTACATTTTATTCCTCTTTAGTACCCTTTTGACAGGAGCCTTGGTTGTTCAGTTGCTAAATGCTTAACTGCTACTTGAAAGGTAGGCCATTTAAGACCATTATCAGTTTTGTGGGAGAAAGACGTAACAGTCTGCTTCTGAAGATTACAGAAATCTTATGGGGCAGTTCTGTCCCACCTTATACACTGTCGTGATGAGTCAAAATCAAGGAGACAGCTTTGGGTTTGTTTGGGAGTTTGGGATAATCACTTTTAAGTAACTGGCTTCTCATATAAATACAATTATTTATTAAAAGCTTTCCATTTCCTTATAAAGCCACAGTGGTACTGTCTAGTAAGCATAGGACTACTAGTCAGGCAAGAAAAGTGTTTCAAGCCCACCAACTGCAATGAGGAAGAAATAAGAAGCTTTCTTTTCCGGTAAAGATGTATAGCCTTGAAAATACTTTGAATGGTAATCAACTCAGTGGCAGTGGGTTTTTTGGTTAGGTTATTTAGGAGTCATTGTGGCACAATGTTTAAGCACTCATCTGCTAACCAAAAGTCAGTGGTTCAAACACAAGCCTCTCCACTTGCAAAAGATTTTGCAGTTTGCTTACATAAATATTTAGAGCCTTGGGAACTATATGGGGCAATTTTACTCCATCCTACAGAATTTCCATAAGTCCAAATCAATTAGATGCCAGTGGATTTGTTTTTGTTTTTTTTAATTAGGTGACTTCTAGGCCCATGACATACTCAAATATTTTAATTTGTTTCCTTATTCATTGAAAACATCATGAATATAAATAGCTATATAAGAACACTAATGCTCCCTGGGAGAAAGATAACACTATCTGTTCCTCCCATAAAGATTCATAGCCTTGGAACATAAAGTTGTTATATATTGGCATAAACTTGAGGACAATGAGTAAGACAAGGCATTGGCGATTTTTCAGGACTCCATATTTTGTGATTTTTACTCACTTTTTAAAATGTATAAACTCTCTATCAAGAGGCCCAGTACCACAGATTCTTTTAGTTCTGCTGTCATTGGTCAACTGTTGGTAGTGAATATTGGTCTATTTTTGTGACCAAACTTGTACCCAGGTAAAATATTGTTTTAAATTTTTTAAATTTAAATTAAAATTTAAAATTAAATTTAAAATTTAAAATCAAAGAAACAAAATAAATTTACATGAACATATAGCTTTATGAAATAAGTGATAAAATAACACCAACCTAAGCAAATATAAAATAATTAGAAAATAAGGACAGTTACTGGACAATTTAAAAACCAACTCTTCATCAAGAAGGAGAATGTTTAAAAAATATGTGATAAAATTCCACGCACATTGAATATTTTAAAATATGCATAGTAAATTAAGGAAAAAAGTTACATTCTTTCCCAATTTATATTAAGCAGATAATAAGCAGCATGCCTAATTAATTATTTTAGACATTCTGGCCAATGTAGTGATATGTTAACCTGATAAGAGGTATCACTTTTTAAAAGGGTTAAAATTTATTAGCACATAGATTTTTTTAATAGCACAGTAATGGATTAATTGAAAAAAATGTAAATAAGATTTAGTATAAGAAAAACAAAAGCCAATGGCCATCATTTATACCATTAATAATCAATTAAAATGCAATACATGCAGGCAAAAAAAATCTATGCATAAGAGCAACAGGCACATAAAATAGAGTCGACAAGAAATCCATGGATTTGTGAATACCTCAAAACTTAAGAAATATAAAAGGAAAGTTGAATGAATGAAGAGAGAAGAAAAAAACACTATATACGTATTTCCCCAATTACATTGATTTGTTCTACTCTAGGCCAATCAAAACCCTCCAGATTTTGGTCTTGGAAATTGGTCAAATTATGTGAAATTTATTTGGAAGCATAAACAACAAATGAGAATAGCTAAAGAAAAAAATGAAAGCAAAACTTGGAAAAAGAATAGCTGGAAGCAGGGTTTTTTTTTCACATGAGCTAATAAATCAGATGTCATATACACACTTCTATGATGCCCCCAGAAGAATATCTCAAAGGAAACTCCATACAATGAGATGCAGTGTTTTAAAATTTTTGTTAGTAAAAGCTGCCAAATGAGAAAAAAAAATGGACATACTTCTTACACCATGAAATAACACAGCAGCTCTCCAAGTTCTGAATTTTTACTAACAGTGAATATGTTGACTGTGTTAGCAAAGAGAACAACCTTTAGAAACACTAAAAGTATGATTGAATAATAACCTGGTGCCAGAATCTTTGAAGAATTGATATGTGATAGACTGCCTGTCTCACCAACAACCCACTTTTTTAGAGGTCAACGTTATACAGTAACACTGTGGTTGTCAAATGGCTTCAAGATCGAACTTTCCACTACTCAAACAGCAAAGTTTGAAAAGAACAAAACAAAAGAAAAACAACTGTTCAGTGTTTGTAACTTTGTTTGATAGCTGAACTGAAAAGCCCAACTTGAAAAAACCTGTATGGCCTGAGAGGGAATCCTGGGTCTCACTGCAGACACAAAGGGGTGAAGCTTTAGTCTCAGCCCCACTCTCAATCAGAGAATATATAGTGCTTGTTGTTAGTGCATCAAAACATTCTTCATTGTGCTTTTGTGTGTGTGTGTGCATTATTTGAGTAAAATGTCATAACCATGACTCCAAAGAACATTAGTGATACTAACAGTAAAGCCAAAAGGAAAACTGTGAGAGCCAGGATAAAGTGAAAGAAAGACAATATTGCAACATTTGAAGCAGGCCGTGGCTTCTGTGATTTGGTGGCTGAATACAACTTGGCTAAGTCAACATTACCAATATTTTGGATGTGGGAAATGTGATTAAATCATCGAATGTAGGAAAAGGTGTGAAATCATTAACCACAAAACAAAGAACCCAGATCATCAAAGAGATTGAAAGGTTACTGTTAATTTGGATACATCAGAAACAACTCAAAATCAACAGAATATCTGAGACCGTGATGTGTGAGAATGTTAACAGCCTCCACACTGATTTACAGCCCTGGAAAAAATGAATTTATAAGAGTAATTTGGAGCTCAGAGCCAATAATTCGGTGTAAGGAGATGTACTGTATTAAGTTGTGTCCCCCCAACATATTTGTTGAAAATTCTAAACCCTATACATGTGGATACAATGCAAACTCAATCCAAACTGAGAATAGGGTTTTATAGTTATGTTAATGGCTTGTCAGTTTGTTGGTAAGAAGACCTGGTGGAGCCATGGTTACTTGTTGGGCTGTGATCCGCAAGGTTGACAGTTCAATACCATGAGACACTCCTTGGGAGAAAGTCCAGGCCTTCAACTACCATAAACAGTTACAGTCTCAGAAACTCAACTGGGCTGTTGTGTCTTATCGGGTCATTATGAAACAACATCAAGTAGTGAGTAAGTCAGTTTGTTATAGTGTAGTAGCTTGTGTGTTGCTGTGATTCTGGGAGTGATGTCACTGGTAATCCAATGCCATCTCAGTCACCCAAAGTGAGCCGGTTTCAGCGGAGCTCCCAGAATAAAAACAGACTGCTAAGAAGTCATTCGCTGTTCACTTAAGAGGAAGTAGCACTGGAAACTTTATGCATAGCTTTGGAATATTGTCAGATGTTGATAACATAGTGAATGGAAGCAGAACATGGCTTGAGAGTACTCAAAATGTGATTGAGGAGGAGCCATTTTCTTGGAGTGGAGTGGAGTCGACCGTGGTGACCTGAAAAGCCTGTGGAAGTGGACTTTGGGGTCTTTCTTTGGTGACAGGGTATGACTCAGATTGAGGAGAAACAGCTGCAAAAATCCAATACTGATCAAAACTTGGAATATGCAAAATATGAATCTAGAAAAATTGGAAGCGATACAAGATGAAATATAATGTGTAAAGATAGATAACCTAGGCATTACTGAGCTGAAATGGACTGATATTGGCCATTTTAATCAGAAAATCATACAATTTATTATGCTTGGAATAACATAATCAAGAGGAATGGAGTAGCATCTCAAAAAGGACATTAAAAAATCTATCATGAATACAATGCTGTCTGTGATAGCATTGTAACTATCAACCTTCTAGGAAATCCACTCAATACATCTACTGTTGAAATGTACACACCAACCATGAAAGCTTGTAATGAAGAAATTTAAGAATAGTATCAATATCTTCAGTAGGAGATCGATCCAAGACGCTGTCAAGGTGCACACATAATTATTGGAAATTGGGATGAAACAGTTTGAAGCAAACCAGAAGAAACAGTTGTGGAAAAATATGGTCTTGGTGACAGAAACAAAGCTGGAGATCGCATGATAGAACATTGCAAGACCAACGAATGATTTGCTTAAAGCAAATACCCGTTTTCAACAACACAAATGGCAACTATACATATTGACATCTCCATATGGAAGACACGAAAGTCAAATTGACTATATCTGTGAGAAGAGAGACTGGAAAATCTCAAAATCAACAGCTGAAAGCAGACCGGGGCTGACTGTGGAACAGACAATCAATTGCTCATATGTAAGTTCATGCTGAAGCTGAAGATAATTAAAACAAGTCCATGAGAACTGAAATACAGCCTTGAGTCTATCCCATGTATATTTTGAGAACAGATCAAGAACAGATTTTCTGCATTGAACACTATCGATATGACTTGGTGAGCTATTGGAGGACACTGAGAATATCATTCATAGAGGAGGCAAGTGGTCATTTTAAGGGACAGGAAAGAAAGAAAAGGTCAAAGTGTATATCAGAAGAGACTCTGAAACTTGCTTTTAATCATAGAGTAGCTAAGGCAAATGGAAGAAATGATTAAGTTAAAAAAAGCTACACAAAA